GTTCTTCCCTTTTGGTTTTCTATCTCCAGGTCTTTGCACATGTCATTGTAATACTTTACTTTGTCTTCACGAGCCACCCTTTGAAATCTTCAGTTCTTTTACTTCATCATTTCTTCCTTTTGTTTTAGCTACTCAACATTCAAGAGCAAGTTTCAGAGTCTCTTCTGACATCCATTTTGGTCTTTTCTTTCTTTCCTTTTTAATGACTGCTTCCTTTCTTCGTGTATGATGTCCTTGATGTCATTCCACAGCTTGTCTGGTCTTCAGTCATTAGTGCTCAATGCGTCAGATTTATTCTTGAGATGGTCTCTAAATTCAGGTGAGATATACTCAAGGTTGTACTTTGGCTCTCGTGGACTTGTTCTAATTTTCTTCAATTTCAGCTTGAAGTTGCATATAAGCAACTGATGTCTGTTCTGCACTCAGCCCCTGGCCTTGTTCTGACTGATGATATTGAGCTTTTCCATCATCTCTTTCCACAGATGTAGTCGATTTGATTCCTGTGTATTCTGTCTGGTGAGGTCCATGTGTATAGTCACCATTTATGTTGGTGAAAAAAGGCATTTGCAACGAAGAAGTCATTGGTCTTGCAAAATTCTATCATGCGATCACCGGCATCATTTCTATCACCAAAGCCATATTTTCCAACTACCAATCCTTCTTCGTTTCCAACTTTCACATTCCAATCACCAGTAATTATCAATGCATCCTGATTGCATGTTCGATCAATTTCAGACTGCAGAAGCTGGTAGAAATCTTCAATTTCTTCATCTTTGGCCCTAGTGGTTGGTGTGTAAATTTGAATAACAGTCGTATTAACTGGACTTCCTTATAGGCGTATGGATATTATCCTATCACTGACAGCACTGTACTTCAGGATAGATCTTGTTCTTTTTGACCGCGAATGCAACACCATGCCTCTTCAAGTTGTCATTCCCGGCATAGTAGACCACATGATTCTCCGATTCAAAATGGCCAATACCAGTCCGTTTCAGCTCACTAATGCCTAGGATATCAATGTTTATGCATTCCATTTCATTTTTGACGTTTCCAATTTTCCTAGATTCTTACTTGGTACATTCCACGTTCTAATTATTAATGGATGTTTGCAGCTGTTTCTTCTCATTTTGAGTCATGCCACATCAGCAAATG